GTAAGTAAGAATCATAGATAAGTTTACATAAAATAGTAAAAGATAAAATTAGAAGAGGAGATAAAGATGTAAATTAAGTGAGAAATAGAAAAGAAAAAAACACATAAAAGAAGGGTTTAACTGTATTTTACTTCACTTTAGTTTTTTTCTTGTTCCATTGTTCCTTGTTTTATTTTTATACTTTTCTAGTCATATATAATTTAAATTTTTTTGTCTACATTTATATCAACCCTTCTCTCAGCCTTAAGTCATTTTATTATTTACAAATTAGGGTAAGTGATAGGTAAGGAATTTTTGCCTTATGTCGCCGTAATTATTATAATTATAAACTTCTCAGTTGGACATTTAGAATCTCTAGGGTCTCCTTTTTCTATTTAACATTTTAAAATTGAATAAATACTAAGTTATGCTGGTATGATTACAATTTTAAAAAAAACTCTTTTTGCAATAGTAGACGGACACTCCGAAATTCAATAGTTCCAGTAATGGACAGGGGGTCGGTACCTGTAATGGACATACCTCAGAAAAAATTTTAAAATCTTAATTTCACTAGAAAGATAAGATAAGACGAACGTTCAGCTTACTCTTAACAAAACTTAGAAAAAACTGGAACATTTAAATCAACAAGGAAGCTTTTATTATTTACATTTAAAGCACAACCTGTCCATCACTGGGCCCCCTGTCCATAACTTGTGAGTTCACCCTGGTTTTATTCATTTGTAAGTTTTATTAATGTGCGTTATTTATTCTTCTTAATATTCTTATTCTATTTTTATATTTTTGGTTATTTTTTTATCATGTCATGGAATAATAATATACTCATTAGATAATAGACTTCATTTGACGAGCATCTTACTTGGAATACCAGAATGCTCATAGGTAACGATTATTCTCTAGCAATTGAAAAGCTCGTCTTTAACTTCATTTAAGTACCAATGGTTCATCCATCTCCTCAGCGATCAATCTTCCGAATATTTGTAAGAATTAAATTTTAGTATTTCCGTGTTTTCGGCCTCATTTAACTGTTACTTCATTGTTACCTATGTATTATAGAGATACGTTCTCGTGTTTTCCACTACTACGCCAAGTTAGGGTGGCTCTTTCCCTCCTTCAGAAGAAAATATTTCCTAGGTACATTCCTTTACCAAACAATCTATAATCACCGTCCGTCCTACGCATAAAATCTCTTTCAATTCAAGTCGTCTATCCACTCCCTCTCCACAAGATCTCGTCCTTCTGATCTGTATACCCCATTCCGCAAATATGCCTCATTTCAACACTCCTTTATTGTCCGCTCCATCACCTTTTAGAATTCCATCACACTTAAAATCCGCCATGCACTATCCTTATACATATTTAAAACCACCTTATTCCAATTCCTCCTTACAAGTCAATCAGATGCTGACATTCCGGTAGCTATTTAATATGTAACAAGATTTCATTTTTCTCTATGTATATTTGGTATATATATATTTTTTTTTTTTTTAATTATGGATAAGATGTCCAGTCACTTTCACTGAGAATCATTTTCTGCTAATTTTTCTATTTATAAGATTTTAAGCCTTTGAGATATATTTAATTGATTACTAATATTGAATGCACTCCTCTATATGTATATCATATTTTATTTTCTCCAATAAAACTACGACTTAGGATATAGATTATATAAGACTTGTATAATGTTTACAATACTATTATTGTATTCATTTGAACATATTAAGGTACAGATGTAAATCATTTACAGTAAATATTTATCCTTTTATTATTATTATTTTTCATTTCTACAATAGTTTGACAACAAAACTAATTTATCTTTAATTTCAAATTTCATTTAGTTATTTCATAGTTTGTTTTTTTGCAAACTATTTTGCAATATTGTGACCTTATTGCCCATCTTCTTAATATGTCTGTATAGCTATGTAAATACTTCTCTTATTACTTATGCTTTAGTTTTTTCTTTATTGTAATATGTATTTTGGCCAGATGTAATGTTAATTTTAATGACCAATATTGTTATTCTTAAGTGACTTTGTCCCAAAATAAAGTTAATTCTTCTATTGTATTATCTTTGTTTCTTATCAGTACAATTATTTGAACATATACTGATATTTATTTAATATTTTCATTTGTTTACTTATAATTATTTCTTGTCATTTTACACCAGACAAATGGCGCTCCTATTTTTCATTATTATTATTTTTCTTGACTGTAAGTCCCAGAATCAAATTTACTTTTCTTCTGCTACTACATTTAATTACCAAGTGCTCTGAATTCAATATAATATAAAAGATCATATACATTACCGTTATCAGGCCCATATTGACGTATGGAATTGAGCTTTGTGGTTTCACAAAACTCTCGAACTCCTCCTGTATCCGATCCTTACAATCCAAAATTCTTCGTAAGATCCTGTGTATAGGGTAAAACCCCTAATCGTCAGTACCCCACCCGGTTTTCGGCACCTACTGAAATTATTTAAGAATATTAAGAGTTGTAGAAAGACGATCATTTGAAAAAAGAATCACTTCTGCGTTTCTAGCAACTCGCACCATTTATTTAGTTTTATAGGTCGAAAAAATTGCGAAATATTAAAAACCAGACAGGTGTCATCCAAGAACGATGTGTCTTACATTTTGGCACGAAACAGACATTCCTGAACAAAACGATAATAGTTCTTTCATTCTGAAGGTTGCCAGATTTTATTCGTTAGTTTTTTGAATATGGAGTAAGGGTTGCCGAAAACCGGCGCATTCGGATATTTTTACATTCTACTATTAAAAAATAAACAAAAGATACTGTTTAATATATATATATATATATATATATATTGAAATTAGAGATATTTACTGACTAAACAGCACCGAAATTGTTGAACTAAGTACTCACGCGATTGAAATGAGGGATTTACCATATTTAGTATTTTTTTCCAAAAAATTATTTAAAAACGGCTAGTATCATTATTGGTTCATTCAATCCTCTTCTGGCTATATGACCACTCATTTAATTAAGTTGGCTTTGGATAATGACTTTGTCTATTGAATGGCTTTTACATTCTGTTAATTGGATAAACTACGCCACCCATGGTCCTTCACATTTGGTCGATTCTCGTGACCCTATTTTCACTTACGTTCTAAATACGGCCGACAATTTTATAGTCACGTTTAGTTAATTGTAATTTACACATTTCATATTTAAATATACTTTCTAGGTATATTTATAATTTTTATTTTATTCTATAAAAATGTATTGGCGCATGTCAACTTATTGCTGACAATCAGCAAATGTGATGGCGATACTTGAAATAATGACATGACAGGCAATTATTGCTGATGATCGTACAATGCCTGTGATTGGAACCATTTAGGATCATAAGAGGCTAAGGATCTTCCGTGTATTGTTTTAAAATTAGAAATTTATTCTTTTTCCATTTTTTTTTTTTGGCTATAAAAATTGTATTTACGTCTGTCAACTTTTGTTAACAATCTGCAAATTTGCTGGATATGCAAGATATAAATAACGTGTCATTCAGAGAAAGGAAAGTTCTTAGCAGTACCTCTTATCACTAACTTATTCCAATTATTTAAGTTGTTTAAGGAAGGAGATCTCTCATGCAATGCCTTTTTAGTCCCCTCCCCATGTTCTGAAGTATATCAGCTGTGGCCATGTCTCTTATTATGTCCATTTAAATCAGTGTAAAATCGTTGATAAAGGGTCGTTATATGTTGATCAACTGTTGGAAAGTGGAGGTCAGTATGTAGAGTTTTGTTAGTCACTTACCAAGGTGCAATAATTTTGAATTTTATTTAAATAAATAAATATACCCAGAAATATTAAAACAGTTCAAAAATATAAAGTGGTGTAATCCGTGGTACAGGCCCCTTTTTATTGAATTATTAAAATCCGCCTGAAACTTCGTAAATCGTTTCATAACAAAAATCCTACACTATTTTAATAAAAAAAAATTAATAAGAGACCTGGTCACAGCTGACATACTCCAGAACATGAGAAGGAGACTAAAAAGGAGTTGGATGAGAGATCTTCTCCTTATACAACTTAAGTAATTGAAAAAAATCAGGAAAGAGGTGCTGCTGAGTTCTTTCCTTTCTCTGAATGACACGTTATTTATATCTTGCATATCCAGCAAATTTGCAGATTGTTAACAAAAGTTGACAGACGTAAATACAATTTTTATAGCAAAAGAAATTGGAAAAAGAATAAATTTCTAATTTTAAAACAATACACGGAAGATCCTTAGCCTCTTATGATACTAAATGGTTCCAATCACAGGCATTGTACGATCATCAGCAATAATTGTTCTATAGCTACGAACCATTTTTTTTTTAAATATTTCCCGTCAATATTCAAGCGAGTGGAAATACTGTACTCGCTCTTTTCTAAATTTAAATTGAAAGTCCGACTAAAACTAAATATATACACTTACCTACTCAAACCCATCTGGACATACGCCTCTCAGATTTACGGTTCGACAAAAAAGACGCACTTACAAAAATTACAGTCATTTCAATCCAAAATTTTACGACTTATAACAGGAGCTCCCTGGTACGTCAACAACAAAACTTTACATAAATACTTACGACAACCGACTATAGACCAACAAATACTATCGTTTTCCTCTCAAACTACACGGACACACAAACAGATTTATAACCGACATGGCTACGACTGACATGCCCATCAGGAGGAGATTAAAAAGGAGCTGGATGAGAAATCTTTTCACCTAAATCAAAAAAATAAATAACGACCAGGAAGATGTGCTGCTATCCTTCCTCATGCCTTTAATGACTATCCTCATCATCACAACACATCTGCTGGTTGTCAACACTATGACAGGCGCGGATAAATAGTTAAAAAGAAAAAAATATATATATATTTCCCGTAGGACTTAAAGGCGATTATATAACTTTTAACATATTGATCATTTATTTTTATGTATATAAATTCCATGCATGTTTTTATATATAAGTTTATTCGTAACTTACCGAGAGCGGCCAGAATGCCTGCTGCCCAGAAGACCTCACCGCATAGCGCTGGTAAAAATAATAGACCTCCCATCCTTCCTCCGAAGGCGTCTTGAAGAGGGTCCAGCATGGTAACGTAACCCTGTCTTCGCATTTGGTTGGCGAAGAAGATCCCTCCTGAAAAAGAAGTGACATATTTCAGATAGAAAATTAGTGTTTGTGTCCTCTAGTGAGGTAGCGTTGTAGCTCAGTGGTATGGCGCTAATCTTCCAAAGTTCAAGATCCCAGGTTCGAATCCCGGCACATGGCAGAAAAAGTATTTATTCTGTTTCATTAGCTATGGGGCTGTCCTGGGGTTAGGAGACCCTCTTGGGGCACACCTAGCTTCTATAAAGTGGGTACCTTAATTAAATATTTAATTAAGGAGCAAACCTGGCTTTTGAGCGTGATCTCAGTCAAATCACCTCCTTGCACAACCATTGGCCAAGAAACAGTACTTCCCTAAATAGTACTGTACCCAAGATCTTTCAAGGGTTATAATGGTACTGATTTTTTTTTTTTTTTGTTTTTTTTTAGGTTTGTGTCCCCTAGCAGAATATATTATAAATGAAATAAGTATATATCATGATTATAGGAGGAAAATTCTTTGAAAATAAAATTGAAAGAATTTTATTCTGTTATCTTCTTTTCTGTTTTGGTGGTTAATATTTTAGTTAAAATATTAATAAAAAAGTAGTTAAGAATAAAGAAATTGTTAAGTGGTCCAGAAAGTGTTTAAGAAAGGATGCGCCTGCATTTAACTATTGCGCTTAAACCAACATTACTTCACTGAATTGCTAGATTTTGTTTTAGGCGCTTTCTGATAACTAATAAATTTCCACTTAAAGACTGTTATAAAGTCATTAGTTATTTCAAAATTCATTACTAAGTTATTATTCGTAAAGGTTTCAAATAAATTATTTAAAATTTATAAATTATTTTAAATTAAATTTCAGAACTTTCTTCAATAAGGCCAGCTCAATCAGGAGTTCCTCAGGTGTAAAGAATCGCTCCACTTTTGTATATCATATACACAAACGGCATTCCTAACAGTACCGAAACTATTACAGCGACTTAGATAGACGATACAAAAATTCTAACAAAACCTAAAAATCCTACACACACCTCACAGACTTCACAATATCGTCCAACTAAAATAAACGATTGGTGCAAACTTGAAAAACTTTTTTTTTTTATTTATTCATGATATTTACAACTGTATTAAAAAATTAAATACATTAAGTAAATTTGATAACAGAAAATAATAACATGAAATGACCTGTTGAGAAACTACCCACTGGTAGCAATCTAAAAAAAATGTATTTACAATAAGAGATCTCGAGGCCATCTTCTTTTCAGACGCCTCGGAGGGTTATCAGGAATAGAAGAGGAAGCAAGGTTAGAGACAAGAGGATTCGGATGGTTCTGAAGTTTATCATGGAAGGATTGGTATCTGGATTGGGCCAAATCGGAAACATAAGGAACATTAAGGTCAGTATGGATTATTTTATTGGTGACAAAGTAAGGAGCATTGAGGATTTTCCAAAGGATTTTGGATTGTAAGGATTGGATACGAGAGGAATTCGATGGCTTAGTGGAGCCCCAAAGCTCAACTCCGTAAGTCCAAATAGGTCTTATTGTAGTCATGTATATAAGTCTTTTGTAATTAACTGGAAGCTTAGAGCGTTTGTCTAGTAAGTGTTGGAGTAGTCGGAAACGTCGAGCGGTTTCTTGTCGTTTCAGTCTGGTATGAGGATTCCAAGTTAGACGTTTGTCCAAGTGAAGTCCAAGGTATCGGATTTGTTCAACAGGGATACTAGAAAAACTTAAACGTGAAAATTCGACTCAAATGAGACAAAACATTACTTTTACTTTTCGACGTGAAGTATGCCCTCTTATTTATCTTGACAATGCTGAAATTCCGCAAACAGATAAAATACAATACCTTGGACTGACAATCAACAGAAGAATAACATGGAGCCGACATATCAACAAAAAAAAAAAGTTAAATCTCAGACTACGACTATTTTACTCACTTTTTTCAAGACGCTCAAAATTTAAAAAAAAATTTGCTGTCTATAAAACTGTCAACTTATTTTTGACAATCAGCAAATGTGATAATAATAAAGGAAATAATTACATGACAGGCATGGGGAAGGAAAGTACTCAGCAGTACCTCTTCCCTAACTTGTTCCAATTACTTGTTAGGAGTTGTTTAAAGAAGGAGAAAATTAAAACAGGGAGTGAACACCTACATTTATGTATTAAAGCCCATATGGACCTACGCTTCTCAAATATACGGAACAGCCAAAACAATCCAGATACGAAAATTACAAACCTTTCAGTCAGAAAATTTTAAGACTAAAACTAAAGCTCCATGGTACGTCACAAATATTACTTTACATAAAGATCTAAACATGGCAATAATTAATGATCCTATATGGACACAATACAGAAAAATTCACAATAACTTACATGGACATACTACTACACTGATGCAAGATGTGGCTACGATCAACATGCTCGAAAACACTCTTCGGAGGCTCAAAAGAAGCTGACTGACGGATTTCCTCGCGTAAACAATATACTAAATTCAAGTTAAGAAGGGATGGTGGGTATTTTCTCTCACGCCGATCAAGCCACAATTAGTATTTTTGCCCGAAAGCAGACTCACTACTTGTCAGTTCTTGTGACAGATTATGAGTAAAAAAAAAGAAAGTTAAAAATAAATAAATATCGAAGTTATTTTTTAAAATAATAAATATTATTTATTAAAATTCACGAAAGCGAAAAATAAATAATAAAAACTATTATTGCAGGATTACGAAGGTTGATGGTTGATTGTCGTAATTAATGAAGAGAAGGATGGTTGGAGTGATCAGTCAGAAATAAATAATAATATTTATTTTAACATTTGCCGACGTTTCGACCTGAAGTTCAGGCCTTCGTCAGGGCTAAGAAAAGAACCATATGACAAGGTGTGAAAAAAATAAACAATGTAGGTAAAAAAATTAAAGTAAAATGAAGTATAATAATAATAACCGTTACATAAATAAATAAGTTATAATAACCGTTACAAAGTGTGGAATAATGAAGTAAACATAATCAAAATAAGGTGGCATAAGTACTAAAATGGTAGTCTTAGAATAAAATATGAAATAGAAAAAAGGGACATGAAGTTATATAATAAATAAAAATAAATAGTAAAATTAAGATATTGTAAATAGAATAGTCAGATAGAAAATTGAGATATTGTAAATTCTATCAAAATGTACTGACATATGATAGAATAAAAAGTTAAAATAGAGAAAAGGTATGAATGGAAAGAGGAAAAAAAAAAGGAGAAAACTGAAATGTTAAAATAAATATTATTATTTATTTTTGCTTTTTATTTCTGACTGATCACTCCAACCATCCTTCTCTTCATAAATAAAACATATATAATAATATATGAGTTTTTAAATATTGCATTACGTTATATAAAGGTTCAATGGAATTATAACAGTAAATTTCCTATTTATTGGCTTTTACATCTCTTTAACCGTTTAAATTCAAAATAACCGGTTCCTAATATAACGGTTATTTTGAAATATAAGCCCTCCCTTGCTAAAAAGTTGGCGGAGGGCTGGTTAGTTTTCCTGACCCCTGGTTCCCGATCGATCCACACAAATTGGATTGAGGGTATTAGGTCTCTCGGACTCGCTTGTCATCCAGTCTTCGGAATTCAAATGGATGTTCTGTCTTTAGCCAACGTCTGGCTATCTCATTGGATAATAAATATCATTATAACGTATTCATGAACGTTCCTGTACAAGGTTCCTTAAAAGCACCTTATTCTAAAGGTTACATTTAATTCCACACATTTAGCTTCTCTACTCCAAATTTTCGTCTTATAAACTAACCTTTTATGCTTCGTATGGTAACCATAGTTGACCTTTACGCTAAGTCGGGTGTTGACCTTAGCTTTAAACTGAGTTTAAGAGCCAAATTTAAAGGAATTCCATAGTCACTAGTTTTACAAAGGTAAAAGGTTACTATATAAATCGATAATTTTATCAAGAGGTGCTCCCGATTATGAGTGACGTTCGAAATTAAAAGAGAGGGAAATTGAACATTTACAATTACATACATAAGCCTATTTGGACCTTTCACAGATATACGGGACAAACAAAAAATATCTACTGCAAGCTTTTCAATCAAATACTCTCAGTAATATAACCAAAGATTTCTAGTAGTGATTGACAAAATCGTTCTTTTTAACGAACAAGTCTCTTTAGTTCAGTTCACCTTATTGAACTGGTTATTAGTTCACTCCGATTTCAACGCTATCTAAAGTTATACAGATGGTACTAAATATGTGAGGTACTCGACTCCAATTTTAATATATTTTCAGTAATAAGAATCTGAATATTCGATTGATTTTATGTAATAAAATCTAAACACATAAAATTTATAAGATTATTAACTATTTCTGGTAAGTATTTAAAATTTTAAAAACTGAAAGGAACTGAACATTTCTGTCATCATCCTTTGAAATATTAATATGTTTCAAAAATAAGTCTGTCCATGACTTCTGTTTAAGTATTTTAACTTACCTTATATTAAAAATACGATTATCAAAAATTGTTTTCAAGGAAATCAAATACCTTTTTGATACCTAAAGAAAACACCTACAATTCATTTAATTATATTTTATTAGTAGTTCACGGGAACTATAGTACACAAAGAACTGTAGCTCACTAAGAACTATAGTTCATAAAAATAAGGCCGGTCTTCACAGTTCCTTTTCAGAACTAGTTCATATGAACTAACAACCCATCACTAATATCTAGTACGGTGAAGTTGGACTTTTCTAATGTGTGGATTGGCGGTTCGTCTCATGATCATAAGTTTTGAAAAAACAATATTCCTCATTCTCCATTTAAAGGAACAAGATTTGAGTTTGTTGAAGCTATGAAACAGAAAGTTGAACGCGTTCTGAAAGAACTGACAGAAAAAGAACTAACTTTCTCAGAAGCAATAATCCTTCCTACATCCTTGAACTATTTACGCTAAGTCCTCTATTCAATTTCTTTATTTCAGATCTCAATCTATTGGTCTTCAAACATATTTTATTCTTCCACCTGTTTCATATTCAA